GGGCACGCGGGGCAGGCGAGGCCCTGCCACAAATCGCGCCTCTGCTTTCTCCCCCAAAATGGGCAGAGGAAATCCGAAGGAAGCAGAGCAAAGGGCGGAAGGGAACATTTGCTGCATCGGTTCCTTCTGCAGCCTCAGAAGTCAGCAAAATACTGCTGTTTTGGTGCATTTTAACCCACAACGTCCCTATCACAGCAAAATAGACGTCCTGGTGAGGCTGCAGCTCCTCTGTGGCACAACCTGCACCAGAGGCCTGGCTACCCCAAAGAGCTGCCGACGGACGCGAGGTCGGGCTGCTCCGCGGCAGCTGCACGCAGGCAAAATTGAAAATACGACACGTCTCTGTGTTTCCGCACGGGGGCCGGAGGCATCGCTTTCCCCGCAGAGCAAGGGCTGTTCCCGGAGACTGGGAAGTGACTGTGGGGAGGGAATAGCTGTAAACAACGCACTTTCCCTGCCTGTGTTTCCAAAACAAACACAGGGCAAGCAAAGTGCCCCAAAACACAGCCCCAAAACACAGCCTTGTGCCCGTGACTGGCCACGTGGCCTTGCCTGGAGCCATGGGGACCTGCCGGGCCTCGGCCTCTGTGCGGGGGAGGCACTGGGCACCCCTGCAGCTGGCACCACGCGCCCTGTGCCGGCACCCCTTGTGCTACACACCCAGCACCTCTGCTGCAGGCACCCTGAGCCTTGCATCTCTGCAGGGTGCCCTGGACACCCGGCACCTCTGCAGCGTGTTCCAGGCACCCAGCACCTCTGCTGCAGGCACCCTGAGCCTTGCATCTCTGCAGGGTGCCCTGGACACCCGGCACCTCTGCAGCGTGTTCCAGGCACCCAGCACCTCTGCTGCAGGCACCCTGAGCCTTGCATCTCTGCAGGGTGCCCTGGACACCCGGCACCTCTGCAGCGTGTTCCAGGCACCCAGCACCTCTGCTGCAGGCACCCTGAGCCTTGCATCTCTGCAGGGTGCCCTGGACACCCGGCACCTCTGCTGCGTGTGCTTGGCACCCTGTGCGGGACACCCAGCACCTCTGCAGGGTGTGCCGAGCACGTGGCACCTCTGCAGCCTGTGCCAGGCACTCTGTGTTGGGCACCCAGCACTTCTGTTGAAGGCACCCTAAGCCTTGCATCTCTGGAGTGTGCCCTGGGCACCCAGCCCCTCCGCAGCGTGTGTTGGGCACCCTATGCTGGGCACCCAGCACCTCTGCAGGGTGTTCCAGGCACCCAGTCCCTCCGCAGCGTGTGCCGGGCGCCCAGCCGCCCTG